CCTGTACGGTTGCAAAAACTGGCACATCAAATCGAGAGGCATAAAAAGGCTAGCTGCGTTCGACTATCGCTCTCTTCGCAATTTAGCTCATGTCTGACGGGAACACCGCGTAAGCAATGACCGTGTGCATTATTATACACGCTAGCTAGAAGTGGAAAACACCACAGCTACTGTGTAGCAATACATAGCGAAAAGAAGAAATACATGCAACAAAGGCACGCCAGCTGCGTCATCGCTAATGGATGGACATTGTTCCGGAGAGCTACCAGCCGGTCGTTGTGGAGCGAGAAGTCATATTATGCCTAGGAAGTGAAACGTAATTGGAGAAGGAGGCTAAGCAAATTGGGGATGAACAAAGAAAGTCACAACAAAAGCGCCACTTAAGAAGCAGAAGAGCCAGCAATCTACTAAATAGGCATGGAGTCAAATAAAACCATGAAAATCACTGAAAGAAGACAGGTTTGACACCGTATCATTATCATGGCACAATAATTGAAGTTGAGCAACACCTTTCAGCTGTTGTGCCGCAATGAAAGAAAAAACGGAGCACTATTTTTGTTATTTTGCGCACGCCATTTTTTAAAAATGTTTCGTCGTTTTAAATCGGTAAGCATTAAGCATACTTATGAATACAGATCCTCCAATGGTTTCCATTACGAGCCATATCCTGAATTGATTTAAGCCATCGACACTCCTCGTCCTTTAGTTCCCAAACAGGTAGATATGTGGATCCAATGGTGTCGAGGTGTCAACAATTTCATATGCTGTCGCCAGATGGATGGTAAACCACCGCGTGGTCTCTTCCAGTTTAATCCTGCACGAGCAAACAGAGCGCGATAGGGCAAAGGCTCAGCTGACATAGGCAAGGGTGATCGAACCATTTTAGCTGACGCAGCAAAACCAGCGTTTTGAGGAGCATACTCGCATCCCCTAAGACACGACGTCGGACTTCAATGTTGCAGATATGTTGTTGCCATCACATGAACAATCCTCCTGTTGTCGAAGGTCGAGAGCCGGTGCATGCCGTCTACGCGAACTGGCCATGACTCACTTCCATATAGCAACACCGCCCGAACGGTGACATTGTAAACACAACGCTTTACCAAGAGGGAGACATCCTAACGATGCCACAAGTGTTGCAGGTTGACAAACGTCGATCAGATTTTGACGATGCGAAGAGAAACTTCCTTTCCAATGGTACCAACAGCAGACACACAGCTTCCTAAGTAGACCGCTATTCATTTGTTCAAGCAGTGTACTTTCAATAGTGAGCACAGAAACGGGTGAGTGCCAAACCTTGAAACAACACTTTACACTGTGATGGTGCAAAGCACATGCTGTACTTAGACGCTTCAATCACCAATCGGTATAGAAAGGTTTGCACGCTATGTGAGTCGTCAGCAAGTAAGGCGATATCATCAGCATTACCCAAGTCTGTCGCTTGGATCGAATGAGTTGAAAGAGCTTCGAGTATTGCCAGACAGGGCAGCAGCCTTCATTTCCAAATTATGCTGGAACAACCAGGCTTCACGGTCACTGCGTAGGTTTGATTTGAGCTGCCGACTGACAGAAGAGTGCACTTTATTATGATTAGACTCCTTTGGGATATTTCTGCGGCGGTCGTATAGATCCAAGAAGCGCGTGGAGATCCAGGCGATCGTATGGTGTTGAGCAAGACTACAGATTGATCATGGTCCTTTGCATGAACGTCCACTGTTCATCAATATCCTGCAGTTGGTCGCCGCCGAGTGCACCGTCCATCCTCATAATCATTATACATGTTAGCTAAAGGTGTAAAACAACTCATCTACTGTGCCGCAATACAAAAAAGGGAAAAGAAAATAAATGCGACAGTTGCATGTCAGCTGAGCTACCAGCAAAGGATGGGCATTGTTCCGGAAAGCTACCAGCCGGGTAATGGGCAACAAAAAATTATTTTATAAAATTATATTATGCTACGGAGTGAGATCGAGGTTGGACGGCGAGGCTAACTGGGATATGGAAGGACAAAAAACTCACAGCAAAAACGACAAGAAGGTCGGCTCCTAGCCGTGTCAGCAAGTGTATTTAGCCAAACGTGTTCATCAACATTTGGACCCCAACCAGGGAGCTGTGGCGCTCCAATCGAGGCCAGCTACGAAATGACAGCACCGTCCAGGAAAGCTTGAAAGCTCTGCTGAACCGAGAAAGTAGACAGTTTATTTTATCCATCTTACAGTGCTTCGGCTTTGGGGACCCACCGAAACTCATGTAGATGTTCTCACAGACAAGAGCATGGTCTGAGTCAAAAATGTGGACCAGAATGATTTGCAAGCTTTGACGCTATGTCTCCATCTGAAACTGATAGCGATATGATCAGTCTGAGACCATGATTGGGACGCAGAATTGGGCCACCAAGTAGCAAAACACTTTCTTGAATACCGAAAAAGCTGGCGATTAAGGGAAACAGATGATAATTTTCGCACACTTATCTGAGCGGCTGTCATCGAGCGTATAGTGGTCTTTAAGGTGACTCTCAAGACAATAAACAACCGACCGTTGCGTTGAGATCACCAGCAAAGACAACAATATCGGATTTCCAAGCTCTGTACAAGAGCTGATGAAGTTCACAGCAGCAATCGTCCTTGGCCGAGTCGGAACTGCAGTCATTTGGCGGGTAGGCTGAGATCACGAAGACGTTGTGTCTCTCCTCATGACATCTGTTTATCTTACATGATCCTCGAAGCCGAACAGCACACATTCGGCTAGTAATCAGCAACCAGTCCATCAGCACGTCCCCTGAATTGCTGTTTAGCGCTACACCAATGCCAGCCAAGCCTGTCACAGCTGTTTCTGTGTCACCAGATAGACGTAGGTGAAATACGGCTTAGTGGTCGGTGGGAGATCTCAATGCAATCACAGTACTGGGATCTTGCAAGGGCATTTCGGGAAAACAGAAAAATTGATGGTGAGGAATTGCAAGGTGCGCGCAAGACCATCCTGCTGCCCGATCTGCATGAATGTGCGTACATTGAAGCATGCCAGACGGAACGTGGCCGAAGGAGCGCGACTGGGCGAGCTCCCTGCATGTCGACGAAACCACCCGGAATAAAATCATGGAAACAGGAATCGGCTGGTAACGGATAACAGTGATACGTAACAAATGAACAGGTGGCGTGTGAAGGTGCGACTAGCAGAAGCAGCAGAGCGATATTATACATGAACAGTCCACGGTTTTGTCAGTGGGCACTGCCCAAGCCGAAGTAGGGAGTTGTCTTACGGGACTTCACTCCGAGCCTTTGGCTAAATAGACTGCCCTCAAGTCAGCGAGGAATTGTGAGACTGTTAGTCTGACCCCTAACCATTGACCCGTCTGGTATGAGTGACTATGAAGGCACTTGGAAGTGCCACCCAGCGTAGCTCAATAGGTCACAGGGGTACGCAAACTATCGCACCACGTTAAGGTCCAATCTCGTTGCAGCGGCAAACGCCACTGAGGCCGGATCTTATCCATGCCAACAAGTATATCCAGCCAAATGTGTTCATCCAACCAGGGAGCCTAGAGACTCCAAAGGAGGCCAACTTCGAACAAGGAGCCACTATTTTTCTTGACCAAGTCATCGCTTGGCCATTCCTCCTATTCTTCCGTCCACACCGGGCGCATAAACAACGCATGTCTCGGGAGTGGGTGTGTTCATATACGCTAAACGTCGCCCAGCCATCGGAGCCTAGTGTGTGAAATAACAGTGCTGAGCGGTTCATTTTCTCATACTATACCATAAACAAGGCGTCGAACACGCTCATTGCTCAGACAGTGTTCCCACTAGATAGGAGTCAAAACTGTGAAGACAGCAATTGTCGAATGTAGCTAGCCTTTTTATGTCTGTCGAGTTTTTTGGGTGTCTAGTAATTGGTGCAGGAAGCGTGTGAACCGCTCAGAACCGTTATATCGCGTTAGGCTCCAATGGCTGGGCCACGTGTTGTGCATGTCAACACACCCACTCCCGATAGGTGCGCTATTCGCGCGACCGGTGTCTGGATGGAAGAAGAGGAGGCAAACCGATGACTTTCTCGTTAAGAATGAAGACCCACATTTTGAACTTGGCGTCAGTTAGTGTCACCCGACTGGCGAGATTCGGGTCCAAAGGACAACGAATACGTTTGGGTGGATACAGTTGCTGACATGATGAAGAGCAGACCTCGATAGCGCTTATGCTGTGAGTTCCTTTGTCCCTCCCCATCTCGCTTCTTTGCTCCTTCCAATCACGATCTCATTCCAGAAGCATAGTATGATACTAAGCACTATAGCACTTGTTTTGGGTCTTTATTTTGTGTTCCATGTCTTACATTCCGCTTTTTCATGTCTTACATTGTGTGCTGCGAAACAATAGCAGCGGTGTTTCTTAACTTATGATAACGTGTAATGACGATAACGACGGTTCCTCCCAGTAACTTTCCCGTCAGGTAGTGCCCACACGCCAGGAGAAACACTAAACGACCGTTTCATCTTATCTGGACTTGTCAATAGGGTACATGCCTCAGCTCCATCAGGATTCGGACTCATGACCAGCAGCGTATGGCTCTGGGCCATGGGTAATGACGGTGGACCGTCATAACTCAGAGCGCCAGTGGCGTAAGTCATTTGTCGTGATGAGTTCGGATTCTGATGCAGCATCTGATGGATGCACACCACTGACGAGCCCCGATGGGGTAAACCGGTCGTTTGGTGCTTCTCCGGGCGTGTTGGCACTATCTGAATTGGATGCTGCAACGAAGGCCCATCAATTAAGGTAGGATGGACGATGAAAAGTAAGATGAACAACATAGTCCACTGTGCATAAGTGAAAGCACGAAACAGATGAGAAAGGCTGCGAGGGAGATAAACGACGAAGTGGGCAAAGAAAATGAAAAAGAAACATAAGTAGGTGCCTACAAACATAGTGAACAAAATGCTGGGCTGTCCAACAAGGGTAAGTTGCAATTTATACACGGCAGTAGATGGTTATACGGCCCGTGCTTACCGCGAGAGGTGCGCAATGTGCAGACACAGAATATGTCTCATTCATATGAGGTTGGAATCAATGGTCCTGAGAAGAGCTGGGAGCGAATGAACGGACAGGCATAGAGGATGAAGCATAGCGGGCATGTTCATCGGAACTTGAAGGAATTAATGAAGTGGTGTGACCGAATGTAACGCAGAGGTTCGGATAGGGTTGATGGGGGAGATTCGTGTGGACCGATGAAACAAGAAGCGACTGAGCAACAACATCCTGAAACTGGGGTGATCGAAGGATAGTTGGAGACTATGTGGTAGCGGATATCTTATCTTTGTTGCTTTCCAAGGTCTTTTGGAAGGAGCTCAGCGAAATAGCCAACACATAACCCAATCCCTTCGCGATCAAGCTGTTATGTTTCGGCACTTGTGTGCTAGAAGCATATTGGTCACGAGCTTTGCATTCCAGAAGTCTCAGATTACAGAGATAATGATTCAACCCAGAGACATCTGATTGAATCGTGTCAGTCAACTGAGCGATGGACGAAGAACTAGCTAAGCAGGACTGCTCAAGAAGGATGCGCAAGTTTCGCAGTTTAGTTTCCGTCATTGAAAGATCTGATGCGATTGCTTTCGCAAGCTTAAAGTATTCCATGGTTAGCACATTTGTTCGACGCCCACAGGCTCCAGAGGACCTGCGCGGTTTGAGCACACAACGATCAGAGATCACGCGTTGCTGGAAAGATTTGGCGCACACACGGAACTCTCCCGTACGGTCACAAACGGCGACGATAGTGGTCATATTCCAAGTACGGTATTTCCAAAATTACAGTGAGCTGGAAAAAGAAAAAAAGGTTAAAAACACTGAGACCGAAGGCGATAGTACCAAAACGTCAGGGTAGAGAGTACCGGTTTCAATACGAAAACAATGACGGATAAAAAGTTGGAAGTGTGGATGCATGTCATAGTGAACTTTACACAATAAAGGATAGTGAACGATAACTTCGACTAGTCCCAAACACGGATATAAACAGTTTCGAAGTAGTAGCCATGGTAGTGATTGCAATGGAATTGAACGAAGCGGAACACAGTGAGTGAGAAGAATATGAACCGGGGAGAAGAGGCTTAATTCAACAAGCAACTCAGGCATGCAGGCGGAAATGAACTACGGAAAAGTTGTAAGCGAGAAATTTAACAATCAGCAGGGTGGATAACTACACGCTGAGAATAAAGAGATACAATCGTTTCCGGACTCTGGTCTATCCAGTAGCGGCAAGTTAAATACAACCCTAACGAAAGGAAATGAAGTACAAGCAGATATCTACCGTGGTATTTATGCCGAAGTATGCAACACGCTTACATTCAACAGCTTACAGCTACACAGTGATAGAGTGCATGTGGCATGGTTGATCCCTAGAAGCGTTGTCGCCAGTTTGCATTTAATTTAAATAAATGATTACTTGGAGATATAAAACGAAACCGATAAGCAATCGGTTCTTCATCGATATCCGAAATAAGAAACGTTCGCTTGACAAAGGATGTGGAGACAGCATCACAAATATAGCTCCACTAGCTCCTGTGTCAATCATTAAGCGGAAACAAAGCTTAACAGTGACACCATGTGACACGAAGTTGGATTTTTCTAGCCCAAAGCGTAGCAGATTCCCAAGTGGTTCCCGAAAGATAAGGTATTAACAAGATCAACAGTGAGATTCACATGTAAGGAAAAACGTTTAAATACTGCCACAGCACACGCATCAATGATCAAGTTAGATTGGGGTTCGAACTTAACTCACTTAGAAAATGGCCGAAAAACAGTTGGTACTGATGATGTAAATAGAGTGAAAGATAAAGCGTGATCATCATCATCATCATCGTACACGTTAGCTGGAGGTGGGGAACACCTCAGCTACTGTGCCGCAATACACAGCAAAAAAAACAACTGGTGCAAGCCGGCTGAGCTACCGCTAACGGATGGGCATCGTTCCTGTAAGCTACTAGCCGGCTACTTTGCATCAAAAAATTACTATGCAAAATTATATAAAATCAAATAATGAGATTGTGATTGTAGGGGGGGCTAAGAGGGATGGGGTGGGACAAAGAAACTCACAGCACGAACGCCACTGAGGTCGGCTCCTAGCCATATCAGCAAGTGTGTCCAACCAAACGTGTTCATCGTCTTTCGGACCCCAACCAGGGAGCCGAGATGCTCCAACCGAGGGCAGCTCAGAAGTGAGGGCCTTCATTCCTCTGGACCACGTCATCGCTTGGCCACCCCTCCTCATCTTCCATCCACACCCCCGGCGCGCAAACAACACACGTCGCGGGAGTCGGTGGCCTGGCATGCGTAACACGTGGCCGAGCCATCGGAGCCTGATGCGTGAAATAACGGTGCTGAGCGGTTCAGTTCCTTTTCCTGTGCCATAAACAAGGCGCCGAACACGCTCGTTGCTCACGCGGTGTTCCCACCAGATGTGAGCTAAATTACGAAGCCACCGGTGGTCGAACGTAACTAGCCTCTTTAGGTCTGCTGCTTTAAGCGGCCAGGTTTCACAACTGTACAGTAGGGTCGAACGTACTGGTGCATTGTACACTCTACCCTTCAAGGCAAGAGTGATGTTGCGCCGGCGCCACAAGTGGCGAAGGTTGGCAAAAGCGTCCCGAGCCTTTGCTATACGATTCGTGATTTCATCTTCAATCCCACGGGCGCTGATACAACTTCCCAGGTAGTTGAATTTTTGAACGACTTCTAGCTGTTCCCCACCAAGGGTCAGCGTAGGAGGCGGTCCAGACCAACCTTGGAGAAACGCTTTGCACTTCGAGGGTGCGAAGCAAAGCCCGAAGTGATGGACAGCTAGTGCTAATCTGTCCAGGGCTGCTTGGCACGTTTGTGAGTTGTCACAGATCAGGGCAATATCATCAGCATACTCTAAGTCAAGAAGTCGTTCTCCTGGGAGTAGCTCCACACCTTCTAAGTCGTGTCCTGTAAACGCGATTTCCAAAGCGTGATCAGGTCTCAGAATGTCCGCAAAGAGCGGGAATAACGACGCTTAAAACAAAGCATCAGCAGTACGCCGGTACACAATACCGACGCTTCGCTGCCGCGCAACCACTACCGGTCGCACGTGGGCTAAGGATACTGCGAGAGTCGCCTTGCCCCTACGCAGGCTCGAACCTGCACCGCAAGATAATGAGGTAAACTCGTTACGTCTAGACTACGGGCCGGTCGGGATTGTCGGCGAATAGAAAACGCCAATGTCATCGAAAGGAAACGAGTTTCGTGCCAAAATAGTTAAAACAAGGACCCAAGAAAAGTGGACTCTGGAAAATCGATATATAAGGAGGGAGAAAGTTTGATGCACTCTTTGTTGGTTGTGGACCTCTGAAGAGCAGACCAGTTGACCTGCTGTAAAGCCATTGTTTGCTGGATTACTTGTGCGCATAATAGCTGAGGTGTTGCTCACCCCTAGCCAACGTGTATACTGATGATAACGACGTTAAATAACTTGAAGCTACCACAGAGGATGACGCTACCCCCTCCCGTAATCAACGATGAGACACAACGCCACCTGCTTAGCTACTACTTATGCACAAAATGGGGAGGGGCCCGTTGTCTTGGAGCACGTCGTCATACTCACTAGCAAAAAAGATGAGGGTAAAAACGGCAAAATTGTCGAATGAAAATGCTTCCATTCAAGAGCAAGGAAGCATATGCACGAGTGGTACTGACCTCGAGAATGTGTAAACACAGTGATATGCTACCGCGAATGTGCCAAGTATGATCTAGGTTCAGTTCATTGAGTTGTAGAGAGCAGGAGGGAAATCCCTTGTCAGCCCCATCGATTCCGTATCATACTGAGTTTGATGCGTATCGTCGCGTCACGACGTTCCTCGAGGGTTCGTCGCAATTGCAATGAAAGCCGCAAGATTCCAGCATTCTCAGCGAATGTTTGTCTAGCAGCCGCTTGAAACTTTTCTTGGATGGTGCGTCTGCAATTTCTTCCGGTATGCGGTTTCAATCATTTACCACTCTAGTGGATAGGGTGACGTCCATGCGAATTCTTTCTTCTTTGTTTAGATAGTTTCCATGTGTGATCTCGTGTGGAACAGTGTTGGGCTGGAAGAATTGTTGTAACTCACTTCCAAGTTCCCCTCGGAGGATGAGGCTAGTGTAGATGAGATCACCCCGACGACGGCGGAGCTCGAGCGAGAACAGATTTAGCTGCTGGAGTCGAATGGGGTACCGGAGATCACGAAATCCCAGAACAGCTTTCGATGCACGTCTTTGAAGCATTTCCAGCGGAGCGCATTCAAACTTTGAAAACGGATGGATAGCTGGTAGGCCATATTCTAAGACTGGACGTACGTACGAAGTGAACAAAGGTCGAGAAATCTCAGGAGTCATTCGAGCGAATAATCTCCTTAAGGCACCCACCAGTCTCCTTCCAGTGGCCACCTTCAACGTGTCCTGCGTCGTTCTAAGGTCAGAAGTCACGATAACCCCGAGATCTCTCTCATGAGTGGTATTTCTGAGAAACCCACTGATGTGGTATGCGCCGTACGGTTCAGTGCTACTCATTGGGATAACAGTGCATTTAGCTCGATTTACTGGCAATTCCCACTTGATGGACCATTCGTGTAGCTGGTCTAAAGCCCCTGGTAATCTGTCCGTACCCTCAAGGCTGGATACTGCTGATCATAGCTTGAGGTCATCGGCGTAGATCAAGCAGTCGGCAGATCGTAAATGTACAGTTTGAAGAGCTCTGGTCCAAGCACTGATCCTTGCGGAACGCCATTAGTCACAGACACAGAGGGTTTGGTTCACTTGCACGCGCATTATCGTACAGCTTAAGAAACCGGCAATCCAGGAGAGATTTCCTACAATGTCGATTCCCTGGAGTTTAGGTAGCAGTCGTACCTGCGGAACTTTATCAAAGACTTTACTGAAGTCAATGAATATTACGTCAATCTGTTTCGGACATCTATGGCCTCTGCCCATGCTTCCCTGGCGATGAGTAAGTTAGAGATGCATGAGCGTGCTCTCCTGACGCAATGTTGAGCGGGCGAGATGATGTTTAGGTTCACACAGTGTAGTTGGAGGGCGCACTTGACTATTCGTTCCATGGTTTTGCATACGACTGATATCAGGCATATTGGTCGGTAGTTCGCTGGGTCTTGTTGGTTTCCCCCCTTGTATTTGGGCAGGACGGTACCTGCTTTCCAGCCTGTGGGTAGGCAGCTGACTTCCAGGGATTGCCGAAATACTTGGCAGATAAAAGTGGCGACGTACTCAGCTATCGTTTTGAGGAAGCTGGGATGCAATCCGTCCGGGTCTGGAGTTCGAGTCCAGTTCGAGGAGTAGTTTAGTGACTACCTCAAGATTAATTTTAACTTGGTCCATAGAGGAGTAGTGTGCAGGTAAACAGTTGTTGAGCAGCGGAGATTCCACTGAGTAGACCGAGGAATATTGCACAGCCAGTAGGTTTGCTTTATCATCGCCGCAAAGAACGGTACCTTCCTCAGAAGAGGATAGAGCGGGGATTCCACTACCGGTTTGGCATTTCGCTTCAGGTAGGCAAAATATTTTTGGGAGTTCTTGGATTCCATGCTCCTATTGTAGTCTTTTGTCTCGTTTGCTCAGGGTGCATAGTTTTCTGACAGTTTTGTACTCTAGGTAGCTTGATGTCAGTCCTGTGCTCTTGAAATTGTCCCATGATTTCCGTCGTTTTTTCACTAGGGATCTTACTTCTTTATCAAGCCATGGGGGTCCTTTTGATGGTGGTCTGCTCATACAGTTTGGAA